GGGTTTCACCATGTTGACCAGGATGGTCTCGATCTCTTGACCTTGTGATCCACCCGCCTCGGCCTCCCAAAGTGCTGGGATTATAGGCGTGAGCCACTGCGCCCGGCTTTTTGAGAATTTTTTACCTGTTCTGGGTATTGATTTTTTTGTTTGTTATATATTGTAAATGTTTTCATTATATTATAATGTGGTAGTTTTCCTGTTATTATAAATGTTTCTCCTGCTTTCTGTTACTGTGTTCACTGTTAATATTTTAATTAGTAACAAATACAAAGAAATATTCTGGGTGACAAATTTTTTTAGAAAGTATTTTTAAATTACCATTTTTGGAAACCAGGGTTTATTATATTTAAATTTTAAGAATTTTTTTCTGGTATCTTTTTTTTTTTTTTTTTGACCGAGTCTCATTTTGTTACCCAGGCTGAAATGCAGTGGCATGATCTTGGCTCACTGCAACCTCCACATCCCGGTTCAAGCAATTCTCCTGCCTCAGCCTCCTGAGTAGCTGGGATTACAAGTGTGCACCACCACGCCCTGCTAATTTTTTTATTTTTATTTTTAGTAGAGAGAGGGTTTCACCATGTTGGTCAGGCTGGTCTCAAACTCCTGACCTCATGATCTACCTGCCTCAGCTTCCCAAAGTGCTGGGATTACAGGTGTGAGCCACCGCACCCAGTCACTGGTATCTTATGTACTAAATCAATATGGTCAAAAAAAATACTGGCTGGGTGCGGTTAAATACACATTCTGTTAAATACACATACCATAAAATGGCCAAGTTGTTTGTGTTTGTGTTTTTGTTTTGTTTTTCAATTTTTTAATAAAACTGAGAGAGGGTCTCGCTATGTTGCCCAGGCTGGTCTTGAATTCCTGGGCTCAAGCAATCCTCATGCCTCAGTCTCCCAAAGTGCTGGGACTACAGGCCTGAGCCACCATACTTGGCCTCCAAATTTGTTTATATGAGAACAGATTGAATACTTTAAAAAAAAAAAAATTAGGCCGGGCGCGGTGGCTCAAGCCTGTAATCCCACCACTTTGGGAGGCCGAGGCGGGTGGATCACGAGGTCAAGAGATCGAGACCATCCTGGTCAACATGGTGAAACCCCGTCTCTACTAAAAATACAAAAAATTAGCTGGGCATGGTGGTGCGTGCCTGTAATCCCAGCTACTCAGGAGGCTGAGGCAGGAGAATTGCCTGAACCCAGGAGGCGGAGGTTGCGGTGAGCCGAGATCGCGCCATTGCACTCCAGCCTGGGTAACAAGAGTGAAACTCCGTCTCAAAAAAAAAAAAAAATTAAGATGCAGTCTGGCTCTGTCGCTCAGGCTGGAGTGCAGTGGTGTGATCTTGGCTCACTGCAACCTCCACCCCCCTGGTTGAAGCAATTCTTGTGTCTTAGTCTCCTGAGTAGCTGGGACTACAGGTGCGCAATGCCATGGCTGGCTAAGTTTTTTGTATTTTTAGTAGAGACAGGGTTTCACCATGTTGGCCAGGCTGGTCTCAAACTCCTGGCCTCAGGTGATCAGCCTGCCTCAGCCTCCTAAAATGATGGAATTACAAGAGTGAGCCACTGCACCTGGCCATAATACCTTATAAATAACTTAAGGTAGCCACATTTTTTTCCTAGTGAACATGGTTTAAACAAAATAATTAGTTTATTTATTTATTTTTGAGACAGAGTCTCACTCTGTTGGCCAGGTTGGAGTTCATTGGCACAACCACAGCTCAGTGCAGCCTCAACCTCAGCTACCCAAGTAGCTGGGACCACAGGTGCATGCCACCATGCCTGGCTTTTTTTTTCTTTTCTTTTTGGAGAGATAAGGTCTCACTATGTTGCCCATGCTAGTCACCAACTCCTGGGCTCAAGCAATCCTCCCACCTTGGCCTCCCAAAGTGTTGGGGTTATAGGCATGAGCCACTGCACCTGGCTTGAATTCTTTAATCTATCTAAAATTACTTTTTGTGACTATTGGGGAAAAAGGAGATTTTTTTCCCAAATAATTAGCTCATTGTTCCAAACAAATATTCTGAATAGTTTCTCCTTATTTTACTGATAGGAAGTGCCACTTTTCACAAATACTAAATGGACTTGTATCTATTTCCAGATACGATTTTGTTCCTATTTAGTAACTTATTTCAAAAATTAGAACTTTTGCTATCCTGTTTGACTGGAGCCTCCTCTTTGTTCTTTTTTTTTTTTTTTTTTTGAGACAGAGTCTCACTCTCCCCCAGGATGTAGTGCAGTGGCACAATCTCAGCTCACTGTAACCACCACCTCCCCAGTTTCAAGCAATTCTCATGCTTCAGCCTTCCAAGTAACTGGGATTACTGGCATGCACCACTATGCCTGGCAATTTTTGTATTTTTGGTAGACAGGGTTTTGCCATGTTGGCCAGGCTGGTCTTGAATTTCAGCCTCAGGTGATCCACCCGCCTCAGCATCCCAAAATGCTGGGATTACAGGCTTGAGCCACCACGCCTGGCCTCCCTGCTTCTTTAGAGTTCATTGACTCCCTGCCTGAAGCCTCTGCTTCCTTTGGTGCTAGGCTCCACTGGCCTGGCTCACTCTCTGGTCCTCCATGCCCCGTAATAGGCACCGCATGCGTGGGGAGACCACCCTCTGGAACCCTGGCTGTGACCATGCAGGCATTGCCACCCAGGTGGTGGTGGAGAAGAAACTATGGCGTGAGCAGGGGCTGAGCCGGCACCAGCTGGGCCGCGAGGCCTTTCTACAGGAGGTCTGGAAATGGAAGGAGGAGTGAGTATGCAGCATTCCTGTGGGCATCGCAGGCCTGCCTCCCTGTCTGCTATCCAGAAGACCTCTGTCACCTGTAACCCCTGGCCAGAGGGTCAAACCCTCAGAAGCAGAGTCAGTTGTCTCTAGGGCTCAGGTCAATTTCAGAGGGATGAGTGAGCTCCATGCTGCCCCATCAGCCACCTGATGTCTCCCTCCAGCCCAGGCATGAGTGCTGGCCCCAGCCTGTCTGTCTACTTCCAGGAAAGGTGACCGGATTTACCACCAGTTGAAAAAGCTCGGCAGCTCCTTGGACTGGGATCGAGCCTGTTTCACCATGGACCCTGTACGTGGGAGGGGTCTCAAAGCTGGGGCAGGAGTAGGAGGCTTCCCAGGGTGGGACCCCCACAGAAGAGAGCACAGGTGCTGCAGCCCTCTCTCAGTAGGTGGCCCACATAAAATACCATGGAGGGCTCAGCTGCAAACACCACTTCCCACCCCTTGCCATGGCCCTTTCTACGTCATGGCCCTTCCTACGTCATGGCCCTTCCTATTCCCTGTCTCGCTCTGGGACCTCCAGATTCCTCCAGATTGCACATGATCAGGACCCCGCCTGCCGTGGAGCCTGAACCCCCAGGGTCCTCGGCACCAGTACTTGTCCCCAGCTGAGTGTCTTCCCTGCCATCTGCAGCATCACAAGGCTTGTGGCCTGCTCTTGTGTTTCCTTAGTCCCCTCTCCCCCCAAAGAAAAGGACTCCCCTCAGAGGGGTCTTTGTGCTGGCCAGTGGGACTCTGTACAGGCCAGGCTTCACTGGACCCCTGGCTGTCTGCCTGGGCCTCCAGACACAAGGCCCATCTCTCTGACTTCTCCCTGCTCCACTCCAGAAACTCTCAGCAGCTGTGACAGAGGCTTTTGTCCGGCTTCATGAGGAAGGCGTCATCTATCGCAGTACCCGCCTTGTTAACTGGTCCTGCACACTCAACTCCGCCATCTCTGACATTGAGGTGCGCCCCCCACCTGGCCTGTCTCCATCTCCAATCTACCCTGGCCCTGGCCCCTGGCCCACGCCTCTAAATACCCATTTTACAGGTGGATAAGAAGGAGCTGACGGGTCGCACCCTGCTCTCCGTGCCTGGATACAAGGAGAAGGTGGAGTTTGGGGTCCTCGTGTCCTTTGCCTATAAGGTCCAAGGCTCAGGTAGGAGCCAGGGGCACCAGGATCCTGGGCTGGGATTGGCAGGAAGGGGCCAGGGCCGAGACCACAAGGCCTTTTGTCACCCCAGATAGCGACGAGGAGGTGGTGGTGGCAACAACTCGGATTGAGACAATGCTGGGAGATGTGGCTGTAGCTGTGCACCCCAAAGATACCAGATACCAGGTGGGGGACTATCCACAGCTGGGGAAGGAATTCTGGCCAAAAAGGGCTCCCATACTTACCAGGGTGGAGGGGTTGGGCTGAGGCCCCTGGCTGAGGAGAGGAAACTGGGTTAGAAACTGATCGTAGCTCCTTTGCCAGCTGTGACGGTGAAGCTGCGGGGAACTGTTTGGGGGCTTTCAGGTGTTGGGACAGTCAGGGCCCTGGAAAAGGACTTGGGCCTAGCTCTTAGTGCATTTTTAAAGGTCTCGCTGTTAACCAGGCTTGTCTTGAACTCCTGGCCTCAAGGAAGCCTCCTGCCTCAGCCTCCCAAAGTGTGGGGATTATAGGTGTGGGCCATGGTGCCAGGCTCCTTCATGCATTTTTTTTTTCTTTTTCTTTTTTTTTTTTTTTGAGACAGAGTCTCACTCTATTGCCCAGGCTGGAGTGCAGTGACACCTTCTGGGCTCACTGCAACCTCCACCTCCCAGGTTCAAGCAGTACTCATGCCTCAGCCTCTTGAGTAGCTGGGATTACAGGCATGCGTCACCACACCTGGCTAATTTTTTTAATTTTTTGTTTTTGTGTTTTTGAAACAGAGTCTCACTCTGTCGGCAGGCTGGAGTACAGTGGAGCTATCTTGACTCACTGTAACCTCTACCTCCTGGGTTCAAGCTGTTCTCCTGCCTCAGCCTCCTGAGTAGCCGGGACTACAGGGATGCACCACAATCCCCACAATCACATTATACAATCTTCTTCTTCTTTTTTTTTTTTTTTTTTTGAGATGGAGTCCCACTCTGTCACCAGACTGGAGTGCAATGGCTCGATCTCGGCTCAGCGCAACCTCCGCCTCCCAGGTTCAAGTGATTCTCCTACCTCAGCCTCCCAAGTAGCTGGGACTATAGGCACGTGTCACCACGCCCAGCTCATTTTTGTATTTTTAGGAGAGACGAGGTTTCACCATGTTGGTCAGGATGATCTCAATCTCTTGACCTCATGATCTGCCCACCTCGGCCTCCCAAAGTACTGGGATTACAGGAGGGAACCATGGCACCTGACCCCACTTAATGCATTTTTTTATATCTTTTTCTGCTCCCAGCACCTGAAGGGGAAGAACGTGATCCACCCATTCCTGTCTCGGAGCCTCCCCATTATCTTCGATGAATTTGTGGACATGGAGTTTGGCACAGGTGGGCAAGGGGCTGGTCCTGCGGGGAGAGGAAGAGATTGGAGCTGCACCCTAGCTGTCCATCTTCTCTCAGATAAAAAGAAAATAAGCTTCAGCCAAACAGGCAGAGCTTGGGGTGGTTCTCAAGGGACCGTATTAGACAGGTAGAGGCCAGAAGTGGTCTCAGATCTACATCCTTCAGCAAAGAGGTGAGTGTAGGAAGGAGCTCCGTGGAGTCTTTCATGACTCAGGCACCCACATGTACACTCAGGTGCTGTGAAGATCACCCCCGCACATGACCAAAACGACTATGAAGTTGGGCAGCGGCATGGGCTGGAGGCCATCAGCATCATGGACGCCCGGGGGGCCCTCATCAACGTGCCTCCGCCTTTCCTGGTGAGGCTGCCTGGGGCATGAGTGCCCGGGTCGGGGAGACGGAGGGGTGGCTGGGCATTGCCATGATGAGGCCTTATTCCTACCCAGGGCCTGCCCAGATTTGAGGCCAGGAAGGCGGTGCTGGTGGCGCTGAAGGAGCGGGGACTGTTCCGTGGCATCGAGGACAACCCCATGGTGGTGCCACTTTGCAAGTGAGGGTGGGGGCCAGGGACGGGAGGGAGGTGGAGGGCTCCTCAGGGTTTCACCTCCTGGCTTCTCACCTACGTGTACCTGCAGCCGGTCGAAGGACGTAGTAGAACCTCTGCTGCGGCCGCAGTGGTACGTGCGCTGCGGGGAGATGGCCCAGGCCGCCAGTGCCGCCGTGACTCGGGGCGACCTCCACATCCTGCCTGAGGCCCATCAGCGCACGTGGCATGCCTGGATGGACAACATCCGGTGTGTAGGGCCCTCCATGTGGGAGGGGCTGGGCAAGGGATGAGCAGGGCCTGGACTGGGCTCCACCAGGCCCTCCCTGATTTCCCCACCCCCACATTTGCAGGGACTGGTGCATTTCCAGGCAGCTGTGGTGGGGCCATCGAATCCCAGCATACTTCGTCACTGTCAATGACCCAGCAGTGCCCCCTGGGGAGGTAAGCAGAGAGCCAAAGCTGGATGCCGGGACACCTGGGGAAGTGGTGGGTTTATTGGGTCCTTGGTTGGGGGGAGGGGCAGGATGAGGCAGAAGCAGACACACCCTCTTGGGTAATCACTGCACGTGCGGCAGGACCCTGACGGGCGGTACTGGGTGAGTGGACGCAACGAGGCAGAGGCCCTGGAGAAGGCGGCCAAGGAGTTTGGAGTGTCCCCTGACAAGATAAGTCTCCAGCAAGGCAAGGCAGGGCCTTGAGGGTTTGGAGGGAGTTGGGGGGGCAGAGCTCCACTCCCTCTGACCTCTGACCTTTGGCCTGTCTCAGATGAGGATGTATTGGATACCTGGTTCTCCTCCGGCCTCTTCCCCTTTTCCATCTTGGGCTGGCCCAACCAGGTGAGTTCCTGGGGCCAGGGCAGGGCGGGACAGGGGACTAGAGGGTGGGTGTTGGTTTCCCTTCACACCCTGGTCTGCCCTCAGTCAGAAGACCTGAGTGTGTTCTACCCCGGGACGCTGCTGGAGACCGGTCACGACATCCTCTTCTTCTGGGTGGCCCGGATGGTCATGCTGGGCCTGAAGCTCACAGGCAGACTGCCCTTTAGAGAGGTGCGGAGACAGCCGAGACCCTCCCACAGCCCCCAGCTTCCTCCTCTGCCCTCCTGTGCTGCACCGTGGGCCCCGAGTGGCTGGGGCACGGGGTTGGCTGTGGGCCAGCCTGGCCTGAGGGCTGGTGGGGGTTGAAATCCGGACTGGGCCCTGCTCAGTGATTCCTGTGCCCCAGCCCAGGGCTTTGTCTTCCCAGAGGAGGGAGTACTTCTGATTCACATAAAGGCGCTGAATGAGCTCTTGGGGACACTCAGTGGGGCCTGTGGTTCATAGTGGGGTAGATCAGACACAGTCTTGGCCAGGCACTGAGGCTGGGGATGAGGTGACTGCGTCTCACGGGCCTCCCCACCTGCCCTGCAGGTCTACCTCCACGCCATCGTGCGAGATGCTCACGGCCGGAAGATGAGCAAGTCTCTAGGCAATGTCATCGATCCCCTGGATGTCATCCACGGAGTCTCCCTGCAGGTGGGCTGGCTGCTGGGCCAGCCAGGAAGGGCTATGGGGCTGTGGCCGCAGCCACCTGACTGCTCCCATTCCAACCTCAGGGCCTCCATGACCAGCTACTGAACAGCAACCTCGATCCCAGCGAGGTGGAGAAGGCCAAGGAAGGGCAGGTATGGAGGGCTGGTCTGGGCTGAGCAGGAACACAGTGTGGATCGAGCTGGCTGAGGATGCTCCTCCCTCTGCCTCTTCCCTGTAGAAAGCTGACTTCCCAGCGGGGATTCCCGAGTGTGGCACCGATGCTCTCCGGTTTGGATTATGCGCCTACACGTCCCAAGGTAAGGGCCCCAAATCTTTCCTTCCGGCTACTTCCTCCTTCCGTGAGGCCATCCCCACCTCCACCCTGAGCCTCTGGTGGGCATGGGCTGGGAAGAGGATGATGAGGACTACATCTCACCCCCAACCTAGGTCGTGACATCAACCTGGATGTGAACCGGATACTGGGTTACCGCCACTTCTGTAACAAGCTCTGGAATGCCACCAAGTTTGCCCTCCGTGGCCTTGGGAAGGATTTTGTGCCTTCACCCACCTCCCAGGTAAGGGCCTGATGGGCAGTAAAGCTGGCAGCACCCACACAGGCTGAACCCCTGTCCAGAGGGGCCTCCATGTAGCTTGGGGGACAGATAGACACAGAGACAGTTAGAGCTCTAGAAAGCTCTGGAAAGCCCAGGGCACTGGGGGCTCGGGCCTGTCACTTCTCCCCAGATCCTGGCACATACGTGGTTACTTTGGACTCATTAGACTCTGGGTGAAGATTTGGCCATGACTCCTGCTCCCAAGGGTTATGGTACCCTCCCCTGGTGCACTGGCTGATGCACCCTCTCTCCCCAAGCCTGGAGGCCATGAGAGCCTGGTGGACCGCTGGATCCGCAGCCGCCTGACAGAGGCTGTGAGGCTCAGCAACCAAGGCTTCCAGGCCTATGACTTCCCAGCCGTCACCACTGCCCAGTACAGCTTCTGGCTCTATGAGCTCTGTGACGTCTACTTGGTGAGAAGGAGCAGAGTGGGGCAGGGGCGGGTGGACAGCAGAGCCCTGGGCTCAGCTTTGCCAGAGTTGGCTTTGAGACCTAAGCTAACCCATCCCCTTCCCAGTCCCCCCAGGCACAGCGAGGGCTCAAGGCTAGACCTCCAGCCTTGAGCTCTGTATTTCTCATTCCCTAGGAGTGCCTCAAACCTATACTGAATGGGGTGGACCAGGTGGCCGCCGAGTGTGCCCGCCAGACCCTGTACACCTGCCTGGATGTTGGCCTACGCCTGCTCTCACCTTTCATGCCCTTTGTGACGGAAGAGCTTTTCCAGAGACTGCCCCGGAGAGCGCCGCAAGCTCCCCCTAGCCTCTGCATTACCCCCTACCCGGAGCTCTCGGAGGTATGGCCTGGCCTGGAGAGGGGAGTCTGGCCTGTCCTCCAGATCCCCTTACCCCTCCTCCACCCCACAGTGCTCCTGGAAGGACCCTGAGCCAGGTCCCCTTACCCCTCCTCCACCCCACAGTGCTCCTGGAAGGACCCTGAGGCAGAGGCCGCCCTCGAGCTGGCGCTAAGCATCACAAGAGCTGTGCGCTCTCTTCGGGCCGACTACAACCTCACCCGGATCCGGCCTGACTGTGAGCCTCAGGCCCCCATGGCCACCCCATCCCACTGTCCCCTCAGCCTACTCTGGGACCCAGTGTCCAGCAGTGGCTGCTTGGTTTCTTGTCTCCACAGAGCCAGGCCTCACCTTCCTCCCTCCCCTGCAGGTTTCCTGGAAGTGGCGGATGAAGCCACGGGTGTCCTGGCGTCGGCTGTGTCAGGCTACGTGCAGGCGCTGGCGAGTGCGGGTGTGGTGGCCGTCCTGGCCCTGGGGGCTCCCGCCCCACAGGGTTGCGCTGTGGCCCTGGCCTCTGATCGCTGCTCCATCCACCTGCAGCTTCAGGGGCTGGTGGACCCAGCGCGGGAGCTGAGCAAGCTGCAAGCCAAGCGAGTTGAGGCGCAGCGGCAGGCCCAGCGTCTGCGGGAACGCCGTGCTGCCTCAGGCTACCCTGTCAAGGTGCCCCTTGAAGTCCAGGAGGCAGATGAAGCCAAGGTGTGTGGCGTGGGTGGGCGTTTCCACCATCCGCTTCCTCCATCAGAACCTTGGTCTGGGCTGGTCCGTGCTGTGGTGTTGACAACTAACCGATCACAACCAGTTACAGATTTCTTTGTTCCTTCTTCACTCCCGCCAGCCTTAAACACAAAACAGGCCAGCTCAGTGGCTCATACCTGTAATCCCAGAATTTTGGGAGGCTGAGGTGGGTGGATCACTTGAGCCCAGGAGTTTGAGACGAGCCAACATGGTGAAATCCTAGCTCTACAACAAAAATACAAAAATTAGCCAGGTGTAGTGGCACACGCCTGGGGTCCCAGCTACACAGGAGGCTGAGGTGGGAGGATTGCTTGAACCCGAGAGGTCAAGGCTGCAGTGAGCCGACATCGTGCCACTGTACTCCAGCCTGGGCGACAGAGAGAAGACCCTGTCACACACACACACACACACACAAAAACGCAAAACAAAAACAAAAGCCAATCCTCGTCTGGAAGCTGGACTCTGTGCTCAACCCTGCGGAATCCACTAGGGAGCATGCAGCCCAGGCCTTTTGAGCAGGGGCCATGGGATGGCCTCTCCTTATACATGGGGAGCAGCTGTGGGCTGGTCACAGCCCAGGATCACACAACAGGTTTGGAGATGGAGGCCGACCTAAAACCAGGCATCCTGTCTCCCAGCTAGACCCTTCATTCCCCACCCTGCTCCCGGAAATATGGAAACCTGCAGGCCTGGGGCTGTGCTTGGGGTCCGCATGGCACCAGGGAGCCCTGGGCCTCCCACCACTTACTTTCAAGCCTCCTGGGTTGACCCTGGAAAGCCAGTCTCATTTGTCCCCTGCCTCCTGGGTTCCGCCAGAGAGAGGCATGGAGTAAACTGCACAGACACAGAGAAAACCAGTCATGAGGGCCAAGAGCTAGGGAGCCTTGAGTGGAAGTGGTTCATCTCACGTGGTTCTCCCAAGAGCCTCAGGAGGGGGGCAATATCATCTTCATCTGACAAATGAAGTGACCTTCCTGGGAGCCTGTGCTATCCTACTCAGGTGGGGACCATGGGTAGGGGGCATGTAGGCTCAGGTTCCTTTGTTCTTGGGGACTGACCACTCAGTGGAAAAAGGCAAGACCCAAGAGGTGGAAGTGGGGATGCTGGTGGGAATGGGTGGGGAGCCTGGCCAGCCAAGCACGTGCCTCTGAGCCACTGACCCCCCATGGTCCTTGCTCATCTTTGCAACTCTGCTCTGGGCGTGCGGGTGTCCCTTTGCTTGGACCTGGGTCCTCACCCCGCCCGCACCCGGTTCCACTTCAGCTCCAACAGACGGAAGCAGAGCTCAGGAAGGTGGATGAGGCCATCGCCCTATTCCAGAAGATGCTGTGATCCACCACCCAGCTTCACCCCTCACCCCCAGCGGCTCACCACAGGGTGGCAGCAATAAAATATTTTCCCACAAAATCCTTTTGTCATCTGTGGTGGGCAGACAGGGGAGCAGAGGGGCTGGGTTCCCGAATCCTTGGTGGCTGCAGGGTGGGAGTGAGGCCCTGGTCCTGGAGGGCAGAGGGGTGAGTCTATCTGGGTCTGTCCCTGGCACTGTGCCAGGTCTGAGTCACGCTGCTCGCTCCCTTCCTCCTCCCCAGCTCTCATTCACCTCCACACTGCAGCCAAGGGAGGCCCGCCCTAGTGTGGGCTGCTGCCTATGGCCTTGGGTAGGCATGAGCAGAGGGGCCACGGGTTGCCCGTCCTCCCCCATCCTGCTGGGGCCTCCCTCCCCCTTCACTGAGCCCCGGTTAATTATAACTCTGACCTAAGTGCCCTGTGACGTCGCGCCCAGGCCAGCCCTGCCCAGAAGACCCAGCAACCAGGTAGGGGAGGGCCCAAGAGGACTCAGGCTTCCTGGGCGTGGGGAGTGTTTCTTTGGCAGGGCTGGGTACTCATCCAGGGACTAGGGAGGGGTGCCTGGGGGAGGAGCCTTGGACCCCTCTCCTGGCAGGTGTGTATGTTCCTATTGGTCTGATGAAACCCTCAGGTTGTCTGGGTGACGGGGGAGAGGGCGGGGAAGCCAGGCTGGAGCAGACGCGACTTTTAAGGTAAAGCAGGTGCTCATGGAGACCAGCAGAGCCGCCTGCCTTGGAATCGTGGCTGCTTCCTCCTCCCTTGAGAGCCTTCTGTCTCCCAGGTCCATGTCTCAGCCATGCTCCCCACGGAAGTGCCCCAATCCCACCCAGGCCCCTCAGCATTGCTTCTGCTGCAGCTGCTGCTGCCCCCGACATCTGCCTTTTTCCCCAACATCTGGAGCCTGCTGGCTGCCCCTGGCTCCATCACCCACCAAGACCTGACTGAGGAGGCAGCGCTCAACGTCACCCTGCAGCTGTTCCTGGAGCAGCCTCCCCCAGGCCGCCCCCCTCTTCGTCTTGAGGACTTCCTGGTGAGCACCCTGGGTCCTGTCACACCCCTGCCAGATTCCCCAATTCCATGGGGCCTCTACTCCTTGAAGGTTCTGGTTGCCAAAAGAAGAGACACCTATGGCCCCACCCCTGCAGCAACAATACCCAGTAGTCTTGGTCCTGAAATTAGGAGTTCCCCAACTTAGAAAGGTCCAGGACTGGCTGGGCGCGGTGGCTCACGCCTGTAATCCCAGCACTTTGGGAGGCCAAGGCAGATGGATCACAAGGTCAAGAGACCGAGACCATCCTGGCCAACATGGTGAAACCCCCTTCTCTACTAAAAATATAAAAATTAGCCGGGCATGGTGGCATGCACCTAGTCCCAGCTACTTGGGAGGCTGAGGCAGGAGAATCGCTCGAACCCAGGAGGTAGAAGTTGCAGTGAGCCGAGATTGCGCCGCTGTATTCCAGTGGTGACAGAGCAAGACTCTGTCTCAAAAAAAAAAGAAAAAAAAGAAAAAAAAAGGTCCAGGACTTTCCCTTCTTAATAGGGGTCAGGACCCTCATAGCCAGCCTTGAGTGTCGGTTGCTGATATAAGGTGGGCAACAGTCAATCCAAGGGGCCTCCCTGGATCCCCGTCCCCTGCTCTTCTCTGCAGGGTCGAACACTCCTTGCCGATGACCTCTTTGCTGCCTACTTTGGACCTGGGTCTCCTTCCCGGCGGTTCCGAGCAGCCTTAGGTGAGGTGTCTCGTGCCAATGCAGCCCAGGACTTCCTACCAACTTCCAAAAATGACCCCGACCTGCACTTTGATGCTGAGCGACTGGGTCAGGGACGTGCGCGCCTGGTAGGGGCTCTGCGGGAGACCCTGGTGGCAGCCAGAGCCCTTGACCACACCCTGGCCCGCCAGCGTCTCGGGGCTGCGCTCCATGCCCTGCAGGTGAGAACAGGGTTGCGGGGATGGTCAGAGGGGTCTTCACTTCCAGTGTGCCTGTCTGGGATGGATCGTGTCCTATGGTACCTTCCTGATCATGATTCCTTCACTCTGGAAAGGGTGGGCACTGGCAAGCAGTGCCCCGAGGCTATGTCTCAGTGCCCGCTTCCAAGCTGGAAGTGCTCCCTGTGGGAACAGCAAGGAGGGCACTGTGGCTGGAGAGAAGTGAGGGTGAGAGAGGAAGGCTGCGAGGTCAGAGAGGTGAACAGAGTAGCACAAGTCGTAGGGCTCTGCAGGCCAAGAGGGGCCTTTGGTTAGACTCTGAGCTGGGAAGAGACACTGGGACAATTTCCACCTGGGCAAAGCTCTGGTCTGAACAATGGAGAGAGGGCAGTGGAGGAGACTTGGGGTGTCTGGTGGGAGCAGCAGGGGTGGTAGGGGATTTTCTGGGTGGGAAACTCGAAGGAGTGGCATATTAGGGCTGGCGATGGTGAGAAAGATCAGACTAGTGCCTTATTCCCTTTCTACTATCCTCCGGACCAGGATTTCTACAGTCATAGCAATTGGGTGGAGCTGGGCGAGCAGCAGCCACACCCTCACCTCCTCTGGCCAAGACAGGAGCTCCGAAACCTGGCACAAGGTACAGCTATGACCCGGTGGTGATGTGGGAGCCCACACGGCCACCTCCTAAGTTCACCCAGCCACCGTGTGACATCCTGAGGTCTCAGAGGGTGTGATGTTACTTAATCTCTCCCAGTCCAAGCAATGCCTGACTCGGTTAAGCAGCTGCCCCAAGGTCACACAGGGAGGAATAGCGAGGATCACAGTCCTGTCTGAAGTGTGGCTTCCTCCCCGCGCTGACTCACACAGGGCCTTCTCTCACAGTCCCCTCATCCTCTTACCCGAAAANTGAGGCAGGAGAATTGCCTGAACCCAGGAGGCGGAGGTTGCAGTGAGCCGAGATCGCGCCATTGCACTCCAGCCTGGGTAACAAGAGCGAAACTCCGTCCCAAAAAAATAAATAAATAAAATAAAATAAAATAAAATAAAATGCCTACTGGACTGAGTTGCCTAAAGGTAGGGGTTGAGTCTTATTTGTCTGCATACATCCTACAGTGGCTGGCATTTAATAGAGACTTAGTATATGTTTGATGAAGGTATAAATAAAGAACTTAGCGCTTATTATGTGTCAAAGCACTAGCCTAAGATTTATAAAATCGACTCAACTCATTCAGTCTTCCCACTAAATCTCTGAGGTAAGTGCTATTATTCTGTCTCTTTTCTGGTGAGGAAACTTTTTTTTTCTTTTTTTTTTCCTTTGAGATAGCGGGAGAGTCTCACTGTCAGCCAAGATGGAGTGCAGTGGTATAACCATGGCTCATAGCAGCCCACGATTCCAGCGATCCTCCTGCCTTAGCCTCCTGAGTAGCTAGGACTATAGGCAAGCACCACCGTATCCAGCTAATTTTTGTATTTTTTTGTATAGATGGGGCCTCACTATGTTACCCAGTCTGATCTCGAACTCCTAGGTTCAAGTGATCCTCCCACCTCAGCTTCCCAAAGTGCTGGGATTATAGGTGTGACCAGTTTGTGTTTGTTTGTTTTTTATTTTATTTATTTTTTTATTTTTTTATTTTTTTGAGACGGAGTTTCGCTCTTGTTACCCAGGCGGGAGTGCAATGGCGCGATCTCGGCTCACCGCAACCTCCGCCTCCTGGGTTCAGGCAATTCTCCTGCCTCAGCCTCCCAAGTAGCTGGGATTACAGGCCTGCACCACCACACCTGGCTAATTTTGTATTTTTAGTAGAGACGAGGTTTCTCCATGTTGGTCAGTCTGGTCTCAAACTCCAGACCTCAGGTGATTTGCCTGCCTTGGCCTCCCAAAGTGCTGGGATTACAGGCATGAGCCACTGCGCCTGGCCTTCTTCTTATTTATGTATTTATTTACTTTTTGGAGATGAGGTCTCACTATGTTGCCCAGGCTGGTCTTAAACTCCTGGACTCAAGCAATCCGCCTGCCTCAGCCTCCCAAAGTGCTAGGATTACGGGCATGAGCCACCATGCCTGGCCCGTGCTGTGTTTTCAAGCACAGCCCCAGTCTCAAACATTCAGTCTCACTGTGGGCCCATGACCGTAAGTTTCAGGGCTTTTGCCTCATCCCAGCTGGGAGGAAAAGCTGAAGAACTTTGGATGGGTGGGGATAAAGGCTGGGAGTGGCAAAATCTTGGGTTCTAGCCCTGCCCTCTCTTCCCAGTGAGCGATCCTACCTGCTCCGATTGCAAGGAGTTGAGCTGCCCCGGGAATTGGCTGGGCTTCACCCTCCTCACCTCTGGCTACTTTGGAACTCATCCCCCCAAGCCTCCAGGTACCAGACAAGAAAGCTCCCCAGAAGTAATGGGAGGCAGCCACTCCCTGACAGATCTCTGTCTGTAGGCTTGCTTGCCTTTGCTATGGCATCTCCTCCTAGGAGGATAGGATGCTGGGAACAGGGTGGGTGGAGGAACATCCGCTGAGGAGACTGTGGTGGGGTTGGGGGAGGGGAGCAGCTTCTTCCTCCACTGATAGGATTTCTCCCTTGCCATAGGCAGCTTTAGGGGACTGGCTGGAGGGATCAGGAGATCCACCATGTGGTGTGGTGATTGACCACCATGCCCTAAGATTTACTCCAGAATTCCCCTCTACAAAGCATTATTATTATTAATTATTATTATTATTATTTTTTGAGATGGTGTTTCACTCTTTTTGCCCAGGCTGAAGTGCAATGGCATGATCTCGGCTCACTGCAACCTCTGCCTCCTGGGTTCAAGTGATTCTCTTGCCTCAGCCTCCCAAGTAGCTGGGATTACAGGCATGTAGCACCATGCCCGGCTAATTTTGTATTTTTAGTAGCCGGGGTTTCATCATGTTGGCCAGGCTGGTCTTGAACTCCTGACCTCAGGTCATCTGCCCCCCTTGGCCTCTCAAAGTGCTGGGATTAAGGTGTGAGCCACTGCACCTGGCCGTTATTATTATTATTATTATTATTATTATTATTATTATTTAGAATGAGTCTAGCTCTGTTGCCCAGGCTAGAGTGCAGTGGCACAATCTCAGCTCACTGCAACCTCCACCTCCAGGGTTCAAGTGATTCTCCTGCCTCAGCCTCCTAAGTAGCTGGGATTACAATCAGGCACCACCACACCCAGCTAATTTTTATATTTTTCGTAGAGACGGGGTTTCACCATGTTGGCCAGTCTGGTCTCCAGCTCCTGATCTCAGGTGATCTACCCGCCTCAGCCTCCCAAAGTGCCAGGATTACAGGCGTGAGCCACCATGCCCGGCCCCATCATCATTTCTTGCTGAACCCTTGCTGAGGGGCGAGAGGTTCAGGCCAGGTCTGAAAGGGCCTCATTTCCTTAGGAGGCAGTGGGTTTTTGACCTCCACTATCCAGATCCCTTTCCCCAAACCAGGGAAATGTAGCCATGGGGGCCATTTTGACTGGAGCAGCTCCCAGCCACCTCGGGGAGGCATCAACAAGGACAGCACATCCCCAGGCTTCTCTCCTCACCACATGCTGCACCTCCAGGCTGCAAAACTGGCCCTTCTAGCCTCCATCCAGGCCTTCAGCCTTCTGCGAAGCCGCCTGGGAGACAGGGACTTTTCCAGGTGAGTGGCCTCCTGGGGATGGACCCCCCCATGTGAGAAACCAGATGCTGGGGACAAACGTGCAGACCCTTCACTGTGTCTCCGGCCTGCTCCCCAGGCTGCTGGACATCACCCCAGCCTTCAGCCTGAGCTTTGTCTTGGACACCACGGGCAGCATGGGTGAGGAGATCAATGCTGCCAAAATCCAGGCTCGCCACATTGTGGAGCAGCGGAGGGGCAGCCCCATGGAGCCTGTCCACTATGTCCTGGTGCCTTTTCATGACCCAGGTGAGTGTGGTCTGGCTAGGACAGTGGAGCGGAGGAAAATGCAAGGTAGGGCATAAAGGGCTGTGGTGAGGAAGTGGCCTCGAGGTGGCATTTCCTGTAAGGCTGAGTGAGCCTCTACTGTGAGCATACAGAAAATTAGCAGCAGCCTGGCTGGGGTGGCTCACGCCTATAATCCCAGAACTTTGGGAGTTGGAGGTGGGAGGATCCTTTGAGCCCAGGAGTTCAAGACCAACCTGGGCAACATAGACTCAGGTCTCTACAAAAAAATTAATGAAAATTATCTGGGTGTGGTGGCGCATGCCTATAGTCCCAGCTACTTGGGAAGCTGAGGCAGGAAGATCACTTGACCCCAGGAAATTGAGGCTGCAGTGAGCCGCGATCGCACTACTGCAATCCAGGGCGGCCTGGGCGACACAGTGAGACCCTGTCTGTGAAAGAAAGGGAGTTAGCTAGCAGCCTTTTCTCCCACTGTTTCTAAAATGGCAGCACTTTCCATGAGTTTAATGCATAATCCATGCTTCTGCTTTCTTAGGTTTTCATGCTAATAAGCCATTTTCTTTTTTTGTTTTAGTCTTTCTTTTTTTAAAACATTGCTACAAAGACGTGTCCAAAATAAGCCATTTTCAATTCTCTCCGTTTCCTATCGACAGAGATTGGGGTGAAGATGGGGTTGGTTGGGCCAGGCTTCTGGGAAGCATCAGAGACAGCTACCTGCACTGTATTCCTTTCCCACTGATTAGGAGTTAGACTATCTGGCTTAAGTCTGTGTGTCTTTAGGCTGGTCATTTAAACTTTATTTGCCTCAATTTCATCATGCATAAAATGAGTCAGTTGCCTGCCTCATCCTGCCTGACTCCCAGGTTTGAAACGATGCAAATAAAATGCCTACTGGGGGCCAGGCGCGGTGGCTCAAGCCTGTAATCCCAGCACTTTGGGAGGCCGAGGCGGGTGGATCACGAGGTCAAGAGATCGAGACCATCCTGGTCAACACGGTGAAACCCCGTCTCTACTA